TTCAAAGTGTAGTGATGAGAATCAAGGAATTTATTTTATGTGGCCTAAACAAGTGAAATAGACAAAAATTCCACTGCAACCTGTTGACGCGCCATATAATTTACTACAAATACAACCTTCATATCTTCGTTTCTGTTCAGCTTATGACACAATCTCGTTCCCAGAGTATGCCTGTTTGCGGGTTAGGCAGTGGCATGACTCTGGGGAACTCCGGGACTCCGTATCCACTAAATACTATACATCTATCTTTAGTCTTTAATATATTTTTAATTCAACTCACTGCGTCAGGGGCGTAAATGTGGGGGGGGGGGGGGGGGGGGGTGGGGGGGGGTGGTTCACCCCCCCAGAGAAATGATCCAGTCGGTCTCAAACTACGTGCAGTCGGTCTCAAAATTATGCGTTTGTTTACATGCAGTGCTTTGCGAAGCAAATTAAATATTTTCGAAACTCGAGTAGACTCAGACTATCGAGTATTGAGTTGGAAATTTGCTCAAACGGATCAAACAGCTCAGAAGAAATGTGAAGAAATATTACGTACTTATTTTGCGAGTTTATGAACGAATTATCATTCAAAACACGTGTAAAGGGATGAAGTTTCCATTTACTTTCCAAACATGGAGATATCTATATGTCACGATTACGTGTTGGCACTTTTATTTGGAATTTAGGTTCTGCAAGGTCATTCACGGGTGATATTCTATATTAGCGAAAATTTCAAACCCCCAAAATCAGACTCCAAAATGCGATGAATCTCGATTAAAATAGCTAACATTAGTTACAATATTTCTCCGGTCCCAAAACTATATTTTTAAGATGTAAAGTGCAAAAACGAATTTCTAGCCGAGTTATATTAGGAAGTATGTTCACATGTAACACGATATGCATGTGCATTTTATTACCAAAGAGTTTTATGTGCCTACTGCAATCAAGAAATTCGATCAGTGAACAACGCAGTGGTTTATCTGAAATCACGGAGCGAAAAATTGTTTCCACTGACTAGGCGATGTTTCCAATTGTTGCTTACAGTCAGGCCCATAACTAAGTATATGAGTCATTCGAGTTCAAGTTCAATGACAGACTGTAGTTCTCTCTGTGTAAAGAAGCATTATTCTTGCCCTACAGTGACGTAAGAAATGGGAGGCTGTATGGGTGCACAAGTACCCCAATAACAAAAGTGCGGGCCAGCGCCCAAATACTACAACAATTGAGCACAAACACTTTTTTATTATGCATCTGATCAATGATGTTCGACCAAAAATATTTGTAATTCTTAGCCTCAGGATTGGGGGAAAACTACAATATAAAATTATAGTCATTGTGTCACTGTTTATGAAATTGATATTTCGTTTGAACTGCTCCCAGAATGCAGGAAATAGCGTGTCTAAGCCTTAGAAAATCAAAAATTTTCTGTAAGAAGTGTCTCGGTCAATCAAAAATCCTATAGTTACGAGCCTGACAGTTCCTGTAACATCCGCATCAGCCGAGCGCAGCTTTTCAAAGCTGAAATCAGTGAAAACTGTTATGCGTTCAGTAATGAACCAGGAACGCCTTGGTGAACTCTTGACTCTTGCGTGTGAGCGCGATCTAACAGACACGATCGATCTTGACGAAATCGCTAATCTGTGGTCAAACCTGACTAAGCGCAGACACTTAATAAAAATATAACGTTTCACAGCAAACTGTACGTGTTCTTGCAAAATTCCTAATAAATGCCATCAACTTCCATGCTTTGTACTCAATTTTATTGCAACACACCAACTCACCAAGAGTCGGTCTGGATTCACATTTCAGTGGTGAGTCGGTCTCATTTCGTGATTACACCCTCCCAGTCAAAATCGATATGTCCGCCCCTGCACTGCGTAGCCAAGTATCCGCGTATCCAATAAATACTACATCTATCTTATCATTACGTCATTTTAAATTGAACTCACTTCGTAGCCAAGTATCCGCGTATCCAATAAATACTACATCTATCTTTAGTCTTTACCACATTTTTAATTCAAATCACTTCGTGGCCAAGTATCCGCGTATCCAGTAAATACTACATCTATCTTTAGCCGTCTTAATTAACCATATTTTTAATTCAACTCACTGCGTAGCCAAGTATCCGCGTATCCAATAAATACTATACATGCATCTATCTTTTATCTTTACCATATTTTTAATTCAACTCACTGCGTAGCCACGTATCCGCGTACCACTTAGTATCACGATTTATGCGTGGACGGGTATTCTGCAATCGCTCCATTAAAGCTGTTCTAGCGAAAAGAATTAAAGAAGGCTTGAATATTCGTTAAAAGACGAGACATTCAAATGTATCTCGGGCTCTCGGCCATTGTAAAATGGTGAAGATGTTTTGCCAACAGGTTATGGGCGAATTATGGCAAATATTAAAATATTTCAGCTGCTACCTGACGTGTAGGACATGTTACTTGGCGTATAAACTAATTCTATCGTGATAGTCATATCTCCACATGAATGACCAAGGCATTTGTAGTAGGATACAGGCCATTCTGTGCTACACTATACTATGGTGATGGCAGTGATATCAAATTACCATTGGATCGACATGAGAACCCAACGTATAAGATGTTCTATATGCACCCAGAAATGTGTGTCTATGACAAGAAAATACAAGCTTTTTTCAACTGTAATGTATACTGTAAACCTCTGAATAAATGCTCACCTCATTCCAAATATAAGCCCCCCCCTGAATATAAGTCCCCTGAATATAAGCCCAGTGTCCCACTATGTGATTTAACATTGACATTGCCTTTAATATAGCAGAGAACGATATTTAAAACACTGTCATTGTCTTTATAGCTTACTATGTTAATCGAAGTGTGTTATTAATACATGTTTATTTTCCTGTTTCTGACTGACTTGTTTATTACTAACACAATCGATCGTCCAGGTATAAGGCCCCGTATATAAGCTCCCCCACCCCCAAGCCCATCAAAAATCGCTTACAAAAGAATATAAGCCCAAGGCTTATAGTCAGAGGTTCACGGTATTGCCACCCTTGCCACCTTTGCCACCCTTGCCACCCTTGCCACCCTTGCCACCCTTGCCACCTTTGCCACCCTTGCCACCCTTGCCACCTTTGCCAC